AATGTTAAGTATATGTACCAACTGATTTCAAGTAAAAACCCGAAAATTTTGCCCACATAGTGTATTTATGTGTTTAGCGTGACTCGCAGAATAAACAACAATAATTTTCCTAAACAATTTTACTAACTGAAGACGATGCGGTGCTCTCTATGCGGTAAGAACTGAACCTCTAAATATTATCTAAACTTCGGGTTAATCAATCTGCCAATCACTGGCATTCAAACAAAAGGAGAACACAGTCCACATCTCTATATCGGAAGTTCATGGTACCGGACGTTTATCTGCCCACTTCCGGGAGCTCACATACCTGGCGTGCCATGCATTCTACTTCCTGACTGAATCTCGAGCGCACACAGAAACCAGAAGAACGCAGCAAAGTCCGGGATAACAGAAAAACGTAAACAAACAAAAACATCAGGCACCTCACTGAAATGGAATGCATCCAACGCAGCGGTGAGCTGTCCGGACAGCGCAGGACTCTGCATAGCAAAACAAATGCCGCGCTTTTGTCCGTTCCGTATGTCTGCGGTTCAAGCCCCCGTGGCAATACACCGCAAGGTTCACGTTGTCCCCCCACCTTTATTCTGGTACATGGAAGTTCAGGCAATACTGAGCCTACGTTATAGTGAGCACGGCACTGGCTAGACATGTAGCACGCAACAGATAAAATGCTTGAAGGGAACAAATCAGCTGGAAAACCTCGGTGTACTTGTTTAACGACATTCTCAGTGACTCGAAATAAAACATCGAAGGCTAGAATAAGGGAAAGGGTTTGGGAGGAAGGGGCCAGAACCTAATTTGATGTATATCCTGGCATTTACCTGGAGGGGCTAAGAAAAACCACGAAACCTCCCAGTACGGGCCGATATTGCAATCTCTCGGATACAAGTTCAAAGCGCAACCGTCTGAGATAATGGGATACGAGTAGCGGCGGGCGGGGAAGGTAGTCAAATGGACCCTAAAGAAACATGGCTGGAGGATGTGGATTTGAGTAATTTGCGAGATGAGGCCCTCACGGTGGTGACAACGACGATCACTGTCTCCCGCGATGTTTCGGGAGAACTTCATGTCGCATAGTGAAGGTAAACATCTACCCTGAAAAAGGCGGCAGAACGTCCCTCTAATAACCATGTGCCGTACTGCACGGCGCCACATCCAAAAGACAGCAATCTTCATTAGAAATCATATGGCCCAAGACAGGGGCGCTGTGGCTCCTGTCAATACGACAGCCTTCGGCCAGTCACCTATCCGGCGGATACCTGACGCTATTTTCTTTGGGTAAAAACGGCAGGGAACTGAAACTGAGCGCTCACACTCCTTCACAAGTCGAAACCCTCTTTTCCTTAGAAGGGAGACAACATGCAAGAAGAACGCTGGAGCCTTGCTGTACGTCACAATCTGGTCAAGAGAGCCTTAGCGAGGCTCGAAGCCGTGATCACAAGACTCGGCTTAGGGAGCTTGCCGTAATGCAGTCATAGCCGCTGCTGACCACTCACCTCCGTGCCCTGCCAAAGACTGCATGGAGCTATACCTCCACTTTCCCATACGTCTTCATGGCGTGACAGTTAAAGACAGGGAGAATTTTACAGTTTTCTTGAACGAAATCGTCGGTATAGCGACTGACTACTGACTTTGCCGAGGGCTCGGAGTTCGAGTTCCGGCAGGGCCAAAAATTTTCTTTTTTCCACGTCTCTCAGACCGGCTCTGGAGCCTACCCAGCCTCTTATCAAATGGGTACCGGGGGCGTGAAGCTGACCACGCGCTTCCAACTGGTGCAGATCTATATATCCACTCCCCCCATGCGCCTTCACGGTATGGTGCTTAATTGGTTAAGCAAATGGACGACTTTATCTATAACAGGATTTCAGTGTTTCTGGACATTATCCACAGCCCTGTTTTTATTTAAACCACAACGTCTCAGACTTGATTCTGTCTACGTCTTCAGGTAAAAGCCTACTCAGTTGGGCTCAATGGTTAGAGCTAGTGAATGCTCCTAAGCGCGAATTCTCGTGAAAGAACAATGCATAAAACGAGTGAACAATGGACTGTAGTTGGGGACACCACCTCCACTCTCTCGGAATCAGATGACCTGTAACAGTTTTAACTCATGTCACAGCTCACCCCAATACCATTCAAAGGGAAATCAATAAAATCCTACCCTCAATTTCAGGAGAGAACAGAGCGAAGCTGTAGAAAAGACGTTTTGTGGCTAGGGAGAAACTCAGGAAGGGGGTTGGGGTGGGTAGACTGGGGGTGTAGTTGTCGTGTGGGATGAGAATACGGCGTTGTAAAAGGGATAGAGGGAAAATAAATGTAGGTCATGGGCGAGGGATTTCCCCCGCCCCCTCCCCCAGGCAGCAGCAGACAAGTCTGCCAATAGCAGTTTCCCTGGCTCCACACTTCATTACGTAACCTTTGCTCTTAATTGCACCTGATACATTCTCACAGCACTGACAGCAAAAGGGTCATCGCTCTGCTGGCAGCTACAGACAGAGAGAGACAAACTGCTCTCCAACGCGAAAGTCTTCATAACCTCACCCCCCCACCCCACACGCCCCTAATTTGCAGCTTCACGCATTTGGCTTTCTGGCTTCTTCCCAGTAGGGCTCCCTGGCCAGGGGGATCAGCCCGCTACCTACACAGAACAAACGCAGACGAAACATCCATGCCTCGAGTGGGATTCGAACCCAAGATCCAGGTGCTTGAGAGGAAGAACACATTTCGTGGCTTAGACCGCGCGGCCACTGTGATCGGCCTAATTTGCTACGTGTGACAAATATTCGAGATCAATACATTTCGTGCTTACAGAATGCAAAGTTCATTACCGCGGGCACAGTTTACAAGAAAACTCCGATGGTTCCACGGCCGTGACACTGCACGTTACCCAGTTCTGTGACATGACCGTTCGGCAGCAACCATTTCCATTTCAGGGTTCTTCTTCCTGCGAGGAGGAGGCACGAGGTTCCGCCCAAATTTTGCAACTATGTACCACACTTAAAGGCTTCACAACGGAGCAAATTCGGTCGAGCGGTAACGCTTCCGACTTCTAGTCTCCAGGTGTTCAGTTCGAATCTCATTTAGGGAACTGAGTACCCTGAGATTCTTGTGGTTGCCCTCCGTTCCTGCAGACAAATATCGAGACAGTCGCTTCCTTCCTCAATGCATCATTCACCACCAAACCGTGCGGAGACGGGTTCGAATACGCCCTCCACTGCAGATGGCGACGAAAAGGGAACCCGGCCCCCGGGGGTATAACTTCGCGAACCTGTCCCTGTAAGAGGCCGTGGAGGCCCGCAGGGTTATCTGACGTTGAAACTTGCACTTTTTGTAGACAATCGGCTCACAGATAGCGGTAAGGTTGTCAGCCTTAAGCGCCGGCCGCCCTGTACCCCCCAGGAAGATTCCTGATACTCATTTCTGTTAGAGGCTGAGTCGACCCCAAGGCCAAAGTGCGGCTGGAAGCTTTAGGTCAATCGAAAAATTCAGAAATCTCGTCGGGAATAGAACCGGGTACCTTCCAGCTTGTAGCTACAGCGTGCCCCCTCCTCCAGTAGCTGTTGGGACATAAATACAGGGACCTGGTCCTCTAGGTTGGCGGTTGGAAAGAAGGCTGACGACTTTGCTACGTAAAAAAGAAATTATTTCTGCGAAATCCAAAGTAAAAAGCGGATGCAATCTGGCAGAATGTTCTACGCAATGCTCTGCAAATGATGATTACTGACTATCGTCCAATGATTCCGGGGTATGCAGCCTGAGTTACTCACAATGTCGTCAAAGAAAAGCTACAAATACATGACGTCACATCCCGGAAAGCACTATCTACTGCAGGCATGTGAGATCCGCGGTCTTCACGGAGATCAGGATTCAAACTCGGGATATGTGGGTTACGCCACCCTACAGCTGTTTCGGAACAAATTACCTCCATTTTCAGATACTGGGAGGAGCATGCTCTACCGAAACGACGATACGGACTTCCTGGGGTACATGGTGCTACGTAGCACAACAACACGGACAATTTTACCTTTACCAGACTGAACAGTGCCGTGAAGTTAAGTAAGTAAAGTAAAGCTACCCCTGCAAAAGGCGTCGATGCTCCCACATTTTCTCTAGACAATCAGCTCACAGATGGCGGCAAGGTTGTCACCCCTACGCGCCGGCAAGGGATTAAAGGTCCTGCTTCACATCAGTTGCGTTGTAATCTAAAGCCGGAGACAGACACCTATGACTGAGGTTTCTGTGATTTTCTTCAGTTCCTCCAGGCAAATGCCGGGTTAGCACCTAAATATCGGGCAAAGATTACTCCTTCCAGGACACGAAGGAGGCGTAACAATGGCCTCAGCAGTTGGCGCAGAACCGTCAAATAAAGTAGGAACACGAGAATGTCAGTAGATACGGGCACACTCCAACTGGATGCATCTGAAAACAGAGAAGCAACGAGCCGACGGTTTTCCCCGGTTTCCTGAACGCGCTTACGTCACGTCTGTACGTGATCTGCTTACATAATCACACCAAGGCCTGCCCGCTGGTGTTCACCTTGGAATCAGCTGCGTGCCGAGAGCTCTGGCGATAAATCGCCGAACTGATGGAAGGGGCTACTCACCCGCTCGATTCATTACAATATATTAACAGGCACGGACGGACATACGATTAGTTGTCCTTGTGCACTACGCCATGGTTATGTATGTAGGAGTGAATACTTTTAATAGCTTTCAAATTATTATTATTTTGTACTTTTTTTTATTTTGCCACAAACATTACGTCCATCACTCAGCTGCCCAAGAAATTTCCCCCATCCTTTATGGAGTCACAAGGATCTGCCACCAATCCTGTCCTGAGTAAGACGAACAGTGTCCCATCTCCTTAAGATTCGTACCATCCTACCAACACTTCCAAACACTCTGTTCAGATTTCTCATCTCTTCCACGCATGCTCCATGCTCCTCCACGACCTGATCATCCCAGTAACGTGTGATGAAGAGGACCAGGACTAGCAGGACTCACCAACTGCCGGTGACATGGAACGTGATCCTGTGGACCCTGTGGGTGACGGGGTTGGCCTCATGCCCTGGGAATTGGGCGTCCCCGGTGCGGGCCCACTGGAGCTGTCATTGCTGTTCTGGCCCGTCAGATCCTGCAAGACAAACCACCGATAAGACACGTTATACTTACATTAACCCTTTAAAGCCCAGTGGTCGCTATATGTACCACCTGCTTTAACACACCAAAACTCTGCATGCTGCCCACAGAGTGTATCTGTGTGTTCCGTGCGGTTCTCACATTAACAGCGGCTGTTTCCCTACACAGCATTAACCGGTTGGGCTCTGTAGCGGAGACGTAATGTTTCCTGTGAGGTACGGACTCAATTCTTATATATACTGCATTCTGCCCATAGAGTGTATCTGTGTGTTCCGTGCGGTTCTCACATTAACAGCGGCTGTTTCCCTAAACAGCATTAACCGGTTCGGCTCTGTAGAGGAGACGTAATGTTTCCTGTGAGGTACGGACTGAATTCTTATATATACTGCATTCTGCCCATTGAGTGTGTCTGTGTTCCGTACGGTTCTCACAGTAAACAGCGGCTGTTTCCCTAAACAGCTGTAACCGGTTGGGCTCTGTAGCGGAGACGTAATATTTCCTGTGAGGTACGCACTGAATTCTTATATACACTGCATTCTGCCCACAGAGTGTATCTGTGTGTTCCGTATGGGTCTCACAACAAATAGTGACTGTTTACCTAAACAGCATTAACCGGTTGGGATTTGTACCTGAGACGTCATGTGTTCCTGTGAGTTACGAACTAAGATTTTATATATTTAAAATAAATGCATGTTTTAAAGAGTCAATATATTCACGCTCAGAACCAATTCAGAGCGCTGCTTGTGACTTCCGTGGCAGTAAGCTTAGTTTACTGCGTGATCGCAGGCCCACCAGAGCAGAGTTCTCCCTGCATGCGGAGCTGACTCAAATAGAAAACTTCGTTACTGTTAAGTCTAAACAGATGATTCAAACTTAATATATTCTATAAGAATTCCAGTTACATCCACCTGCCTTCAGACAGTCCTCGCAGGGCACAAACAAGCTGTGCGACATTTAAATGCATTTCCATTTTTTAACATACAAAAAGGCTGGCGCAATTCTGCTCTTACGTACGTTAACACACAACAGAGTTGATAGTATTTACGAATAGGAGAAGATTACAACAATAAACGACAGTGGAAAAAATGTGTTCACCTTTGCCACATAGTGTCATGGCGTACCTTCAGGTAACAGCACCGGTTACTGTATTCTATCGAGTGAAAATATTAATGCAAATGTTGTCATAACCTTCACACCAGAGTTCCCTCTTACAGGCATACCTTCTTTGGCAATAAACGTTGGAAAGCAGGCTTAAAAAGTCTACAGGCAACAGAGTGATAGGTAAGGCAAAATATGGGGCACCCTGTGGACTTACGTAACACATTCTACTGCTGCGGGACATCCATTGTAATCTCGTTCACCTCGCGAAACATGCGATTTACGTACTTGGTCACATTCTCAATACACGCCAACTGACATGTGCGTATCCAGCGCTCTCGCCTCCTACGTCATGAGCCTCTAAGGAACGACCAACTCTACACGTGCTACTGACATTAATTTACGCTCATTTTCCCCTGAGAGCGCATCTACTGTTTCATACTCACAATGTGCAGCCATTACTTCCCTCAACAGAATTAGCCTAGTGGGAAAGCCAGAAGGAAAGAGACCAAGACGAAGGTGGGTGGATAATATTAAAATGGATCTCAGAGGGACACGATGGTGTGGTATGGACTGGACTGACCTGGCTCAAAACAGGGACCACTGAAGGGCTCTTGTGAACACGGTGATGAAACTTTGGGTTCCATAAAATATTTGGAAATTTCTGAATAGCAGCACAATTTGCGGCTTTTCAAAGAAGGCCCCAGCTCCATGAAGTCAGTTGGTTTGTCAGTCTTTGTAAATGAGACGCAGTGTTCTCTGCGAGCTAGACACTTATTTTTTATGCATTATTTTCGACGAACTTCACGGTAAAAAGGAAATGACCGGAAACACAAAAAGCGTCACAAACCTGCTAAACAAAGCCCAGCAAGACCACGTACCGCAAAGATAAAGACTCTAGAAACTGTTCTTACAATTACGTGTGGACTGTTGAGCCTGGGACACATCGCAGTGATTTCTGCATTCAGATATGACTCTCAAATCGTCCCCAGCAACAAACTTCAACAGTGCGAAGAAGCCAGAAGTCGTGAGCTTTGAAAACATGTGCCGAGCCAAGACAAGCATTTGCAACACAAAAAGAAACATCATTCATGCAATTCACTGCTAGACGCTATAACGAGGACTTGAATTACTTCATTAGAAATACCGGTATGCTACTGGTTAACTAGAAGCGTGGCACCACTCCAGTCGTCTATATGTTTTCCACTTGTTACGCCTGAACAAGTTGATTTCTAACACTTCCGAATTTGGTCATCGCAAGCTCCGTCGCATGGTGACAACTTCATTCATCGAGGAAGAAATTCCGTCTCATCCTGAATGTAAGGACATTCCAAGAGGGAACACAAACGATCATTTCCGTGTCTGAAAACTAGCAGAAGTGGCAGAAGCAGTCGAAACATCACGAATCAGCTTCGTACAGTGTGATTTAACAGAATTTAACAATATATACGACTTGGTTCCCAAGGCAGACACTGTAAAAATCAATGCCTTGTGGGATACGCCGTGTAGTCTGGTATTAAGTTACTTCTAAGGTTTCGGAGGAATCTACTGCTCCCATCAATAGAGTAAAATAATAATCTGTCAGAAAATGGGCTATAGACGTGGGCAAAGGAGGAACGGCAACAAAGATAGAGGCGGCGATTTCTATATCTGCACTCTCATTTCCCCGTCAGCCTTCCTCTTCTACTATGAAGACAGGGGCTACAGGTTTCTCTGAAACGCTGGCATCTATCCGTAACAGTACTTTCTCAGAACAGTGCAGTGATTATACAGCACCGAATGGTAGGATGATAAGCAAATAATGAATTCGGAAGAACCTGGAAGGTGGAAGTCATATCCTGAGGAACTGAGGAAAAACACGAAAGGCCTCGGTCATAGTAGCCGGCATCCTGATCAAGATCTGAACACAGGACCTCCCGAAAACGAGGCATAAAACCTGTCCCAGTGTTACTCTGTTCGCCGCAAAATCCCATATGATCCAACCAGGTATCAAACCTGGGCTGCAGCGGTGGGAGAATTTATTCTATAACCAATTTCTGTCTTACGTACAAATCTCGGGGCACGCCGTAGCGTTGTTTCTTTAGGCACTATGCTACAAGCCGGAAGGTCGCGGGATTGAATCCCGATGTCACTGGATTTTTCAATTTGCCTAATCCTTCCCGACGCACTATGACCCTGGAGTCGACTCACCCTCCAACAGAAATGAGTACCAGGAATTTTTCCTGGGGGGTAACGGCCGACCGGTGCGTAAGGTTGACAATCTCACCGCAATCTGTGAGTCGACTGCCTAGATTATGTGGGAGCCTCGACGTCTCACAACCCTACGGGCCTTCGCGGCCTGTTACATGGACAGCTTCATCTTTTTTGGTACAAATCTCAGAACAAACAGCGATTGCTTCACTAACATCATTAAACAGATGAGCTTCGAAGTGGTGAGACAGTGATTTTCTGTGACGAAGGAACCGGACATGTATACCATAGGGCCGCGCTTATGATTACGTTGATGTGTCACGTGCCTGCGTGGATGCTGCATCGATCACATGTCGTACTAATTTTCGTGTACTCTGGTGACAGGATAAAGATGAAGCTTAATTCACTGTTTTAACTATGAAACGAGGGAGAGAGATAAAAGTATAAAAGGGTTAAAGCGGTGGGGGAGGGGAAGAGGGCGAATGGCAAAGAAACGAAAGAAATTACTGTCCGACGAATTTAACCATACTTAGAACCAGTTCTTCAATATTACTCAGATGAATTTCAAGCTTCAAAGAATCAGGAATATTCAACTAAGTATTTAAACCAAGAACAAAAAATCATAAAATCTTGTGGGGCTCCCGCTAGGTCGTGCAAGGTCGCGCCATAGCCCAGGCGGTTAGTTGCCGGCCTCCCGCCACGGCGACCCGCGTTTGAGCCTGGGTCTGGTCATGTGGGATTTGTGGTGGATAAGGTGGTGCTGGGGCAGGTTTTCTCCGAGAACTTAGGTTTCCCTTGCCAATCTTCATTCCACCAATTGCTATACAATCATCATCATCATCATCTATCATTTAGGGCCAGTAGTGGGCGCAGTAACAAGTGGCCATAGTTACTTGTTATATACCATTCCATTTCTTTCAGTAAAATAGCCGAACTAGAGAGGTTAAAAAACTGCTAGCTGTCAAGGTGGCCTCATATTGACAAGAGTGACACTAACGTCCAAGAAAACCAATGTGACCGGAATGAGGAAAAAAATGAGGGTTGTGAAGAAATGAAAAATGAGGGAGGGAAAAAGTTCGTAGGAAGAGCCCCCTCGGGCCATTTTATGACACATACTCAAATGTAATCCGATCACGGGGCAACACGTCCAATCGCCTGAAGTCTGTCATAACAGCTGACACGACAGCTGGAGAATTCGATTGCTCTTTTTTTCGAGCCAGCCACACTCATCCCTCGTAACGAACTTGGCACTGTCCCCTCCCCGCAACTTGCCATGGTTCATCAAATCCAAATAAGTGCTATGGTCTGCAGGTATTATAAATTGTTAATCCATTCGTTTCAACACGTGGCTCGCATGCACCCAAGTGCTCGTACTGTGACACGTCATCACAGGGTATTAAACATATCCTTAAAAATTATGCAAGAACAGGAAATATGCTGGGAAATCGGGATGGGAAATTATGAAAACCGGATCTGCGGCCTATGCGAAGGATACTGACGGTTCTTTCCCCGAAAGCAAAGAGGCCGAAACGTGGAACTCGCCATCTAACGCTGATACTACGCCGGAGACGACGATAAATCATGGACAAATTTGCACGGAGAGTCCGCACTGTACATGTGAAGGTACTCACTTTATCTGAACTGTAGTCGCCTCGGTTATGACGCATGAGTAACCTGAGGATAGTGAAACGCGTTAGTCCGAAACGG